AGGTCAGGCCCTTGGGGCTTGGAGCAGCCTCTTCAGGGCCCTGAAGAGCTGGGGGTTCTCAACCTGGGGGGACAGATCCTGGCCAGAGCCCAGCTAGATGGGGGAGATCGGTGCAGAAAAGGGCGAGAATCCCAGTATTTCCACTGCTGTGTTCCCTCCAGCCCCCCGGGTCTCCGAACACTCGTCAATTCCACCTCCTGCCCCGACCCGCCTGATGGTCTGTGCAGTAGATCAGCTCCCCCCTGCCACCGTCCCAGCCCGGGGCCCCTTGTGTGCTGGGCTCCCAGTGGCCAGACCCTGTCTCCGTCTCCCTCCCGGCCCCCTCGCTGTCGCTCTGTGCTCAGCTCCCCACCCCGGGGATGTCAGGTGCCCAATGCTTCCTCTCTCCCCTCCGCCAGGTTCTTGGCCAACACGTCGTTCCACGGGCGGACGGGGCGGGTGTCTGTGCGGAAGACGTCGCTGGTGCACACCGAGCACCGCTATAGGATCTGGAGCCTGCTGCGCGACTCCCTGGGGCAGCCCACCTGGGTGACGGTGGGCAGCTGGCAGGACGGCAAGCTGGAGGTGGAGGAAGGGTTCTGGCAGACCCAACTGCAGCGCAAGAGCCCGGGCGGCGGGGGCGGCTTCTCACGGGTGAAGCTGCGGGTGGTGACGCTGGTGGAGCACCCGTTTGTCTTCACGCGGGAGGTGGACGAGGACGGGAGCTGCCCGGCCGGGCTGCTGTGCCTGGACCCCCACACCAATGACTCGGCCGTGCTGGAGGCCCTCTTCGAGGCGCTCAATGCCGAGAACGGCTCAGTGCCCCTGGAGTACAAGAAGTGCTGCTACGGCTACTGCATAGACCTGCTGGAGAAGCTGGCTGAGGACCTGCCTTTCGATTTCGACCTCTACATCGTCGGGGACGGCAAGTACGGGGCCTGGAAAAACGGGCAGTGGACGGGGCTGGTGGGGGACCTGCTCAGCGGCACGGCCCACATGGCCGTCACCTCCTTCAGCATCAACTCGGCCAGGAGCAAGGTCATCGACTTCACCAGCCCCTTCTTCTCCACCAGCCTGGGCATCCTAGTGAGGACCAAGGACACAGCCTCGCCCATCGGCGCCTTCATGTGGCCCCTGCATTGGACCATGTGGGTGGGAATCTTTGTGGCCCTGCACCTGACAGCGCTCTTCCTGACCCTCTACGAGTGGAAGAGCCCCTACGGCATGACCCCGCACGGGCGCAACCGCATGAAGATCTTCTCCTACTCCTCGGCCCTCAACCTCTGCTACGCCATCCTCTTCGGGCGCACCGTCTCCAGCAAGACGCCTAAGTGCTACACCGGTCGCTTCCTCATGAACCTCTGGGCCATCTTCTGCCTCTTGGTGCTCTCCAGCTACACGGCCAACCTGGCCGCCGTCATGGTGGGGGAGAAGACCTTCGAGGAGCTCTCGGGGATCCACGACCCCAAGGTGGGAGGGCCGTTGCGCTGCCTCGGAGGTGGGAGGGACCGAGGCGTTGGGGGAAGTTGCCGTTTTCCCTCCCCTCCCCACGCTGGTCTCCTTTGCATCCCGGTTTCCTTTGGATGTTGGCCACTGCAGCAGCCCAGAGCCCTTAGCACCATGCTGGGGTCTCGGGGTCAGGCCCGACTCCAAGGGGAGAGCGCCCCCCTACCAGTCACTTTGCAGACTCCAGCCGAAGAGCGGTGTTAGCGCCAGGCCTTTCTAAACTCGTCCACGCCATTCCCAACCCGTCGTTATGTCGGGCTGTCGCCTGGAGCTTTGCCAGTCGAGCCACCCGCCGCATGCACCCCGTTTTCCCAGCTGGCTCCCGGCTGCTGCTGGTTCTGGGAGGACAGGGGGTGTAAAATCCAGTGGATGGTTCAGTAGGGGGCGCTCTTCCCTCAGAGCCATCTCTGAGCCATTGGCCCTGCAGTGCTGGTGCTGGCTTTTGAATGAGATTTAAATCCAAGGTCCTGTCTGCTTGCAACCTCAAAACCCCAGGGTCCTTTTTCTATGAGTTGGGGGGGGGGGTTCACCCCGAATCCTGGCCAGATTCCAGTTGGGATAATTCTGCCTCCCCTGCAGTTCAAGCTAGATGCAGCATGCTTCCTCCCCTCCTGTCCTGAACCGCTGCTGTTTGCAGAGAAATACCTCCACCCAGGGCCGGCTCCAGGCACCAGCCTGGCAAGCAGGTGCTTGGGGCAGCCTCTTCGGAGAGGGGCAGCAGGTCCAGCTGTTCGGCGGCAATTCAGCGGACGGTCCCTCACTCCCGCTCGGAGCGAAGGCCCTCCCGCCGAATTGCCGCCGCAGATCGCGATCGCGGCTTTTTTTTTTTTTTTTTTTGGCTGCTTGGGGCGGCTAAAACCCTGGAGCCGGCCCTGCAGCCTCCACCCCAGAGGTGGCTGCATTCCGGTGGGAGCAGTGGTGCCAATTAGGGGAGGCGCAAACCCTACCGGTTTTTGCATTTGCTCATAGTTCCATACTAAATCAATACGGCTGATGCCAGAGCCGTCCGGCGCATCGCTCTGGCTGCATGGTTACACCCCCGCTCAAATTTAGCCCGGTGCTGCCCCCTGGTTCACGGAGTGTCTGTTCCTGTATGGAAGCATGCAGGGCGGCCCCCGAGAAATCAACTTGTGCTGGCGCTGGCCCCTGCACTGTGTAGCTAAGAGCGGAGAGACTCCCCGGCCGGGGGCGGCGGGGGGGGGGACTGGCATATGCCCCCGCCCAAGAAATAACTTACTTGCTGCCTGTGGGTGGTGGGGAATGGAGCCCGGCATGTACAGCCAGCGACTCCGGGTTAGAAGGGACAGGCTGATGGGCTCGGGGTTCACTGCTTTGACCCCAACCCCTCCCTGGCTCCCCTATTGATATTTGCAAGCCACCCGCCTGGTCCTCTTTGCAGCTGCACCATCCCTCGCAGGGCTTCCGCTTCGGCACCGTGTGGGAGAGCAGCGCCGAGGAGTACATCAAGAAGAGCTTCCCCGAAATGCACGAGTACATGAGGCGCCATAGCGTCCCCACCACCCCCGCCGGGGTCACCATGCTCAAGTAAGGGGGCAGCCGCAGCAGGGGCAGGCGCAACATGTGGGGGAAGGCGGGCGTGTGCCGCTGGCTCATTCGCGATGAACTGGCCGGTACTGTAAAGAAACTGGGGGCTGGGCTACCTCCCCTCAGTGCGTTGCACCAGTCTCCACAGTGCCCACTGCTGGCAGAGGCTGGCCTGGAGTAGGTGGGAGGTGCCCCCACAGCCAGAAATCCTGCCCTGCTCCCCACAGCACCCCCTGCTGGCAGAGGCTGGGCTGAGGTAGGCGGAAGTGCCCCCCCCCCAGCCAGTACCTCTGCCCCGCTTCCTACAGCGCCCCCTGCTGGAAGAGGCTGGAGTAGGCAGGAGGTGCCCCCACA